GAATGGACTTCTTCCAAAACCGACGCGCCCCATCGCGGCGAAATACCACGCAGTGCACTCTGGGAACTAGTTGGCCACTCAGTTTCGGTTTCGACTGAGCAGCTTCATCTCATGCTATCACGCCGCGACCGAACGTGCTGCTTGCGTTTTCGATTATCTGACTTTTCACGAACGTACAATACACTCATTCTCGAGCGATACAAAACGAAGACCGGGGCACTTTCCTTGGTTCCCGAAACACCGGATATTGTGCGTGCGTATGCGAACGTAGGAAGTCGTGGCTTAGTCACCTCATCCCACGAGTGCGTCTTTGAGCCCAATGTCAGTAATCCCGTCAAGTACCAGTGAACTACAACCGAAATTTGTTCGTCTGGAGCCTTACACGCATTTTGTTTGCCAAACGTCCGCTTCTCGTTCCTTCATTGGGCGAAAAGCAGTCCGCATCCTCACAGGGTATCAAAGTTGAGGCCAGCGTTTACGCATGAACGTTTAAGGAAACGCAATAAATTCGACCTCACTACTGCACAAAAGTTAGTATGATGCCTTCCTCGTGTCATCATATCTCTCCCACTAGAATTTTATGCTGATAGAAGATTAACTTTTCGCAAACGCTGAGATCGGCTAGCTACGACGGAGGCCCTAACAAGCGTCCCCTACTCCTCGCTAAGCCTTTTTGAACGAGCTTTTACTGACGCCCGAGATCTGTGCCGGGAATGGTGTGTCTGAAATTATCTCGGCATACTCAGACAGGAAGAAAACAAACACATAACAAATATTATGGCCATTAGCAGCCGTCAAATGCGCTTTGAATTCGTTCGAGCACTTGTCTGAAGAATGTCGCACCGTGCGCCGGACGGGCATGCAATAACCCCAATGCGGTGCGCATAGGGGTTCATGCCCGTCTGACGCACTACCGGCGAACGGTGCGACATTCTTCACACAAGTGCTCGACTTTTGCATTCTTAAAACGGCCTGTATGCGCGAATTTGCTTATATGATTGCAGGATAACTTTATGCGCATACGCGATTTTGAATATTAGTGGAATGGAAGTGGGTGGGGACTTCACTTCGTGCAGTGCTGCGGGTCAGTACAGATAAGAGATAAGTGTGTTAAAATTGAGGTTTTCAATGGCACCTCCGAGTTTTACCTCGCGTACTCAGGCACATTAAGAAAAACAGTAATTACAAAAAGTAATATTTCGTCTATGGACGCACGAAGCAAACTTCCTAATCAACAACACTAATGTAAAGGCGCGAGCTCGATGTATGCATACTTATTGTTTGCTACAGCTTGTTGATTCGTACACAAGCAAGATCCCCGAGCACCCGAGCTTCGCAGCGTCGAGACTCCCAGCACTGGCTCGTCCACATACCTCGATTGAAACGCTAACAGGAAAGCTCAAGTACAAAAATACAACAAGCATATGTTAAGACAAGCTATACGTCTCGGGATTGTGCTAAAGCGTCGAGGTATGACCATTTAGGTTAGTTTAGAGACCACAAATGACGCTCTCGGGACCAGAAAACAATCTCTTGTCGACGTGTCGATCGAAACCGAAACCATGCCATTCTCCTCCCTGGCCAACTAGTTCCCAGAGTGCAACGCGCGCCGTGTTGCATGCAGGGCTTTATGGAAGTAGTCTATTGCCGGCAGCGTCGGTGTACACTAAGCGGCAAAGATGGCGCCGCGAGGACGGTGGAAGCATGAAGCACATGGCGCCGATGGCGTGCACGGCATTCGTAGCATGGTTATGGCAATGATTCAAGAAAGTTATTTTGTGTTTTACTGCTGCAGAGTGCTCAATAGTGCGGTGATAATCACTTCATTTGACCTGCCAGCTTGTTACAGCGCGAAGGATTGGCAACAAACGTTTATGGGAGCAAGGTAAGAAATTTTCTTTGTCCTTGCTGCGCTGCAGTTTGGGGATTTCGGATGAGTAAAGCTATACGCACTCCGGAGTGCGCTTCGGACGGAAATGGCTATACGCACTCCGCTTTTCTCGTATAAAAAGAGTTGACACAACGAGTTTCCTAAGCGGTGCCATGGCGTAGTGGTTGGGGTGTCCGCTTCATACGCAAGTGGACGCGGGTTCGATCTGCGGTGGGCCTACGTTTTTTTTCTTTTTTTTTCTCAAACATTTTGTTTTGTTGAGGCATTTGGCGATATTTACGACATTTCCTTTTTTGCAATGAACAGTAAATAAAAAAAAAAAAAAAAAAATCGAATGTTGTCGAGAAACTTTGCAGAACTAAATGGTATCGGACTCCCTTTCCGGAGGTGCGATCGGGGACAGCGGGGCTTGGATTGCCGGCTGGACGCCGCGAAGCGGCGTGTACTGGTTACGCTTAGTAATTAGCAGCCGATACTGTCGCCGCGAAGCGGCGTAAACGCAGGCGGGGGGCTGTGTTAACGAGCGCCCCAGTGATTCACGCGCCGTTCGAAAAGGGTGGCCCGAGCGGCATGATCTCTCGGAGGAGTGCGTATAGCCATTTCCGCGCGAAGCGCACTCCGGAGTGCGTATAGCTTTACTCATTTCGGATTGTTAGATCTGCTTAGACATTCGTTGCTTGATCTTCAGTGAACGGTACGAGCGTGAATGTATAGCTTTAGAGAAGAAAATTTTCCGGGCAGCTATCAGTTCGGAAGTTGTTGGGTATCCGCGAGGAAAGTTAAGTGCGTTTTAAGCATCTCAAAACTAAACTATGAATTGCTGAAAACACTGACTGGGCACAGTTTCAAAAATTGAAGCTTTGGGATTCAAAATTAAGCAATTTTGGGGGAATTTTCGATGAGTGGGAAGTGGGGTGGGGGGGTCGGTCGGTCGGTGATGTCGGGTCATTACCTCCGGAAGTTGATGACTTCTTAATAAAATAACAGTAGTTGCCGAAAATTTTGCATCTCATCCGGCGGACTATTTGCAGCTATGTTTCAAAATTTACTCTGTCTCAGTCAGGGTAAGTTCAAAAACCTACCCGCATCCAGCGTTGCCTCTGATTCATTCGAGTAAGATTTGGAACACAGCCTCCAATGCATGATTTCTTTTCGAGATACGAAAGACACTTATTCTTTCACCCATGCACACTTAAAGCATTTTTCAGGTGCACTGGCCAGCTTTACAGAGATCCTTTGAATTGACTGTTTTTTCTCCTTATAGCAGAGAATATGTCTCACAGGCTTATAGGAAACTTAGTAGTCTTAAACCATCCCAGATGCAAATTTAGCCCAGTCTCGGCAAAAGCTTCATCTCCTAATTTTGACCAATGTGTTTCAGTCACCCAGGGATGTTTGCCTTTTAATGCAAGGCCTGCAGGTTTATACCACTGCAACTAATTTGTTAGCAGCGAAAAAAAAATGTTTAGTATGTTTCTAAGCTTGATTTAAACACTTATAGTCCCATAAGGTCATTTAATGCATATTTATCCTTTATTTTAGGGAAGCTGCAGCTGCTATCCTGGAAGGAAACGACGATGCCTAGAAGCAAGAAATTATTTCTAATAAGTTAAATAAAGACTGTTGTGATTTATCTACCTTTAGATCAAGTTGCAACTTTTTCTAGTTTGGGATATCCAAACACTAATAGTTGTCCCAATTCGTATCTGTCAATATGATTTGAACAGTTGGACCAATTGCTTTTTTCCTATTGGGAGTCCGAAAGCAGAAAAAGGTTTTTCCAATTGGTTGCATCCTATTGACAATGCCGAACTGGTTCGAATTGGTGATGTTCAATTAGATTTTGACAATTGGAACCAATGGACTTTTTCGAACTAGGAGTCCGAAATCACAGATAGGATTCCCGATTGGTTCTAATTGTCGATAACTAATTAGAACCAATTGACTTTTCCTAACTAGGAGTCCGAAATCACAGATAGGATTCCCAATTAGTTCTAATTGTCGACAACTAATTGGAACCAATTGACTTTTTCTAACTAGGAGTCCGAAATCACAGATAGGATTCCCCATTGGTTCTAATTGTCAATAACTAATTGGACCCAATGGTTATTTTTAACTGGGCTGCCTGCTCCAGGATCCATCTACCCTGCGGTGTTCCTGAGAGGCGGGCTATCTGCCGATCTCGATGCAGGTGCAAAAGAGAGGTGAGGGGGAGAAAGAGGAGAAGAGGTGAGAGGGAGATGGGATGATCGTTACTTTGTTCCAAAGGACACCAAATCCAGATCCCGAGCACTTAAAAGGTTATGGAATACCCCCAGCACTTGTCCTTGGATAAAAAATTTTAAAAGACGCACCTTTGAACCAACTATGGTCGCCGATAATTTAATAAACGTGTGATTTATTATGTTAACGCTTGTTGCTTTGCGGTGCGTTTTTCGCTGTTCTTATTTGCCAATGCCACGTTCCCATTGGCTGTTAAGCGATAATGACATGCTCGGGTGTTGCCCGATCCGGCACTCTCGTGGATGCTCGCGGCTCCAGTGCGGTACACTTAACCTGCATGAGCTAAGGCTGGTTGATATACTTATGAGTGCTTACGATCGTGTGCCTTAAAACCTCTCAACCTTTTTAACGACGAAAGGACATACCGGCGCCATCTATCAAGCATCATTGAGACACTTCGCGATTTCGTATAAATTCTATGTTTTTCGCACATCATTCTTTGTTTTTATGGCTCGAAATCACTTTTGACAATAGACAATGACTTTGGACAATAGACAATGACAATGACTTATAGACGACAATTTCTCACAAGTAGTACGTATATTTGATCTCGCAGATACCTCAAAAGCCACGGAGGGTTAACCATTAAACTCGCACGTGACTGGGCATTAAAAAAGTGACGCAATGCCCATCCCTCCTTCTTCTTCTTCTTCCCTTCCTTTCCCCCCCCCCCGCCCCCCCCCCCCCCCCTCCCGGCAAAAACTTTTGTTCGGGTGAAATGCAGTTTCACGGTCAGGGAGACAGTGTGCTTTATCGTCGTTAGACATCACAAGAACTCGATTCAAGTGTGTAAACGGGAATAATGTTCTGAATCCCAGGTTCTCACCTTTTCACTAGGGTTCACGGTAAAGGTGATGCCCTTGAGCACGTCCGGGAGAATTCCGGGTTTGTACGACGTCGCGTACGAGACAAACTCCACCTTGCCTTCTTGTGGCCACTCCGCTGCCTTCGGGAGGTCCGGGTTAAAGTCGTACTTCTCCGCTCCGGGTTCCACTTCACTCTGATTCAAATCAAATCAAAGTTTTTTTCAGACAACCACGTGGAATACAGTTGTCTGGGGGCCGCCACAAGACATTGGCATGCCTCACAAGGCAACACACTCCCCCCCCCCCCCCTCCCAACACACTCCATAGCCGGACCATCCAGCATGCCAGGCAAAATGAAAATCTCAGAGTACTAAAACTACCTGATCATGACAGATCAAACATAAAACCCCCTAAGCAGCGAAAAGAAAATTCTATACAAGGACAAAAAAAAAAAAAAAATACAAAAGTGCTTGCACTTTAGTCTGCGAGGTAACTTTTCCGTAGAATGACGAGACAGGTGATCACGCCAAACAACTGAATCCCGACCAATGACACAGCTCAGAATCCCATTAGACCTAGAAGTATTATAGGGAAGGGACTCGTCTTGTATAAGTTAAAAAAAAAAAAGGTAATTAATTCCAATTTTCAATTACTCGCTGTTAAGAAGAGGTCAGATTTATTGCTCGATCATTTCAGTAGAAAAGTAACTGACCGTTACTTGAGAATGAAACCGTTATTTTTCCGGTTACTTCGGGTTTTCAAAACAACCGATTTTTCTACCGGTTCGAAAACGGGTCTTCCGAACTGTCCATTATTGGATCAGAACCACCGAATTAGAAACTTTTTACCTTTTCAATATATAAACTTTTATAAACCCTATCCTCCTGACGCAGAATAGGTTAAAACATTTTTTCGAAGGAGACTTGTAGAAACAAAAAAGCGTAATTAAAAAGAGTAAAAAAAAACACATTGTAACTGTTCCGAGTGATTTTAGTACTTCCGAAATTAATCAAATTACTCTCGCGATTAATTCCTAACATACGTAGTTGATAGATTACAAACTTACCCCCAAAATTAATCAAATTAATCTTGCGATTCGTTCCTAGTAATTGTAATTAAATGATTACAAAATTACTAAAAAGAATAATGGATTACTTGTAAAATGAGTACCGCACATGTCTAGCAGGGACATTAGGGAGTTTTCGTAGACCGCGCTCCCCCCCCGCTAAGCGTTCCGCAACGAAGAAGTTGCTGCTGCGCCGGCGCGCCGATAGCCTTGACTGTGGAGTTCCCGCTATCGTAGCGTGTTGCGGAGGGCCTTGCGGGACGGCGAAAACGACCTACGAAAACTCCCTATTAAGGAGTCTTAGGGAACCGTTTTGGTGTATCCGATACGGTACGGTGTGCCCTCCGATACGGAACTGCGCATATGCGAGCCTCCTGTGGTAGCGCATGCGCAGTTCGTACCGGAGGGCCCATCATACCTTATCGGATGTGCTAACACGGTTCCCTAAAACTCCCTATTGAGCAAATGAAGCTTTACGCTAAATGCCCCTGCGCACACCGCTTTTTTTTTTTTCAAATTGTATTCTGAGTTTGTTTATTGGCTGTGATCATTTCATTCTTCATCGTGAGTGGCCGCGTCAGTGCTCTGCAGAAAAGTGTACTTATAGACTCTTTGTAGCGGGTGGGAACCGTGCAGTGTAGCATTATGTTGGGGTTTATGCACCAAACGAAAGGTGTCTCAACCGTGCCTTTTGGACGAACATGACTGTTAAGACAGTTTCCAAGAAAAAAAAATTTTTTTTTGCTAAGCTAACAAGAGGGAAAACAACCGATCTCTCTTTTTTGTTAGGGCGACACGTACAAGAAAACTGGGAAATAAAAAAATATATTTTTTAAAACTGTTTCCGAGAAAGAATATCACACAGTGTTGCGCAAACTGCAGTCTTTCATAAGTACGCATGAATGCGTGCAAATAGTTACACCATCGAGACAGGCTTGTAAATTAGCAGTTTAGTAATTAGTAACAAATCTCGTTTGGTTACTAACTTAGAGCTTGAAAATGTGAATTCATAATTATTTATTTTACGAACTGACTAACATGAGTCACTACGACGGTCACTTCCCATTGTCGACGCTTGTAACAAGAAAAAAGCGAACATTATGTTGCGTGACAGTTCAAGCATCTAAGAATACTTTGTTTTCAGTGCTCAGGCGGATATCTGCTTACTTCTTGAGGAAGTTCGGTGAACTCGATGCAACGCTCGAATGATACCACAGTCTGGAGAGATGTGAACATCATTATGCACATGATAGCCATTGCTTGAAGAATCTGAGGAAAAAAAGACACAAAAAAATATTAAGAGCACCATGGAAAGCTCCGATTTGCAGACTTTCGTCGAGTCCGATCGGGTGCGCGGTTGCTATGGCAACAGCTGCGTCGGCTTTAACCAAAGCCGGTTTTTACCCCATTTTGTGGAGCCAACAGAGCTGTTTCCATAGCAACCCCGCACACGGTCAGACTCGAGGCAAATGCGTGAATCGCTCTTACGGCACGTAAGAGTCCAATCAATAACTATACATATTACGGCCAGGCGAGTTGTTTTTGCTTGTTGATACTTAGTTCCGCGTACCATTCAGCCGTTAAAATAGAACAAAGATGTATAGTTCCTACTGTCCCAGATAGAGAGAATTTCAAAGCGGCTATAATCAATAAATCAGATATCGTCTAACATCAAGTAATCATAGATTCCTAAATAAACCACCTCAAAAAGTAAGAAAAAAAATAACCCTACCAACTATCAGGGACCCCACTGGCTTTCACTTCGGTTCGTGCAAAACAGAAAAAAAAAGAGAAAAAGAGAGGGAAAAAAAGAGAAAGAAAAAGTTGTTCCTTTTGAAATGTCGAAATAACAGTAGGAGTGAATCCTACTGTTATTTCGACATTTCGAGCAACCAAACAACCATATTCCCTTTTTTCTTGGGAGAGAGGGATGATAAAGAAAAGGGAGGAGAAAGTGGAAGGCCAACTCTCCCAGAGGGAAGGGAGGGGGGTACCTAATTGTTTCTAAATTTTTTACAATAAACCGAGCGAAAAAAGGAAAATCAACCAGCAGCCTCTCTAACGTCAGAAAAGGTAAGAAAAGAAATAAAGAAAACCAACAATATCCCATCAATCTTTAACACAAGCTATATCAAATCACACTGTAAGTCACGAAATATGACAGAGAGAAGAGGGAGGTGGGACTTAATTAGCACCAAATAAAAGCCAATAAGCGGGCTGGGCCCGGTCCAGTGGTGGCGGTTTCGCTATATACATATTAAGGCGAAAGCCTTATATAGTATGCCTCATTGTTCAGTCGACCTTCAAAGTCCTTGAGCGAAAACACGTCGACGACACGAAAAGTATGAAAACACATTGGCGGCACGAAAGGTAACACGTCGGCGACATGAAAGGTACAAAAACCCAGGGTTCGCTACTGGACCACGAGATGGCGTTACTTGTGACAGAATCGGCGGAGGCGCGCGCGCGGCGGCAACCCAGAGTGAGAGAAGGACACTCTCACTCGGGCAGCGGTGAAGAGGGGGCCTGCGACATGCCATGAGATTAACGGCGCAAAAAGAGCGTGTTCAGAGAGAGCGCTGTCTTCGGAGGTTCGCTATCACCAGGATCGGCACTTCCCTATTGAAAATTCTCCTTTGTATGAGAAATTTCGGTGTCCAATAAACACATATGAATCATACAAGATATATAAGAATATATAAGAACCGTATAAGAACCATATAAGAACTGTATAAGAACTATATAAGATATATGAGAACATACAAACACCATAAAGAAACTAGTGGGAAGTTTCTTATATGTTTCTTATGGGGTTCTTATATATCTTATATAATTCTTATATAGTTCTCATATAATTCTTATATGATTCTTATGTGTTCTTATATGTTCTTATATATCTTGTATGATTCATATCTGTTTATTGGACACGAGAAATTTCTCATAAAAATGATTTTTTTTACTAAGGTTGGGCTTTCGCCTTCAAGTCGTCTTAGGGATAACATAAAAGACCTTGTGAATATTTTTATTTTCAATTGGATTAAGTCTGCATTGCTAACACTGGAGCAGACTGAGGCACATTATGTTCCATTCTTTTTTTTTTCTCACCTCATGTCTGTCTGTCCAAGACAGAACAAGAATTGCAAGGATGTCTATTTCGAATGCCTCCGGAACGGGGTCGTTGCCCACCGTCGTGTTTTGGATGCGCGTGCGCGCAGAAAGCCCAAAAGGAGTCGAAGTGCCACAGAAGGTAAAAAGCATGCTCAAGAGGCGGGACAGCTGAAAGACCTCACTGCTATTTCTCTCCTGACAGTGAGGACAGGGCAGATAGTAACCACCAGAAGAGAAGCAATGCTACCCACATCCTATAGCACGTGTTCGCGGGACGCCATTTCGTTGGACGTTGTTCGCAGCGCATGCTCAGAACGATGCTCGGGGGTAACTTTTCCTGGCATTTCACAATAAGCGAACACCGCGCGTGCACAGCTTTGATCGGTGCTCAGGGCCCGCGAGCGCACGGGTATACTTGCTTTGGCATTACCGCCTGCGAGGAACGCACTAAGATACTCGTTCAAAGACCCTCGCACACAATCAGTACGATTGTCTTCGAAAGACGGTAAATGGGGGCTAGTTCTGAGAATACGATGTGAACAATGTCCAACAATATGGGCGTCCCGTGAATACCCCACACCCCCTATAGACCAACACGCGGCCCTGACGTCACACAGCTGCGGTGGCGCTGTCGACAACCTAGCGCATGCGCAGACGCTTCACTTCACGTGAATTTGGTTTCTGCGCACGCGCAGTGCTTACACCTGGCGTGGGCAAACGCGGGCTTGTTTGTAAACGGCGTGTAGGTCTATGCATGGCTTGCACTGACGCGACCTCAGAGGCCATTGTAGTGGCCCTACTGCTGAGCGCGCGTACACCTGCTGCACCATACGTCTTGGACCATTGATTCTAATTTTCTAGGTAAGCACAAATGAAAAAAAACAAAAAACAGAATGACTAGCAGCATGGTACGATGACGTCACGTAGAAACCGCGTATCTGTCAAGTAAACCAAGCTTTATAAACGATTGATTTGTGGTCTGCTACGCACCTTGCAAAACATCTCAGAAATCGAAGAAACAAATTTTGTTTGCAAGTGTTTCGTTTGTAAGACTCAATAGACATCGCCCATTTTTGTTACGGGTCATTAAAGTCCCGGTCGCACTGCTAATACGTCATGCAAAAGACAGTCTGCAGACACTGTCAGTAGCGTGTTCCTCGACGGCCCTGTCACGTCGGTCATAAAAAGAAACTGTCTTCAGACATGTGCGAAGCATGATGAAGCAAACGTGTGCTTCGAGCTTTCTTAAGCCGACGACCAGACTCGACATTCTGCAAGGCAGAAGATCCTCCTCACTGTCTTCAGACATTTGCGAAACAGAATAAAGCAAACGCGTGCTTCGAGCTTTCTTGAAGGGCGACAACCAGACTCTAAAATTTGTGCAAGGTAGAAGTTCCTCCTCACCATGGGGAAGAGGATACAGGCAACGGTGGACAGGGTAGAAGGTGAGAGAGGAGGAAGCGAGAGAAAATTGGAAAGCGCGAACTGGTCGTCGGCCTTTAAGGCGTTCCAGCAGATATACTTCTTTCATCGTGTCTGCCGCGAAGACAGCGTGTCCTTTGCACGATGTGGGAGCCGTACATGGCCGCGGCTTAAAGGCCCCTGTCTACGCCCTCGCGCGTGTCTCACCGAAGACGCGGCGCTCAGGGTGAGTCCCACTGTGCTTGGGTCCGGTACCACGCCCGGCGGCTGGAGCAGAACCGCGAACAGCATCGTGGACAGGACGACGATGACGCCGAACAGGGACGTGCCCAGACGCACGAAGCGGTAGAACATGCAGAAGACCCAGTAAGCGCGCATGTTGGCGTCCACCAGGCGGCAGAAGTGGGCGCAGAAGCGGTCCAGGACCCCGTAGGCCCGGATGCTGCTCAGCGCGTCCATGGTCTCCGTGACGTGGGACAGCAACCTGGACGTGTGGATGGCCTCGAGGAACTTCGGGGCGTGCGACGCTTTCAGGGACAGCCGCTACGAAAAAAAAAAAAAAGAAAAAGAAGTTTGTATTGTTGTTTTCGGAGTTTTTTTTTGACACTTATCCAAAGAGGATATTGGGCAAACATCTGAATGGTTAGATCATGTGAATTGTGTAAAAAGTGAAAGCCGTTTACAACTCCCTGTAACGCCGAATTGGAGCGCAGCTCTTGAGGAAGAGGAGGGAAGGGTACTGAGGGGAGGGTAGACCCTTCCTCCTCCTCCTTCTTCTCCTCCTCCTTCTCCTCCTCCTCCCCTCATTCTTTAATATGGTCCGGGGGGGTCACCTGACCTCGGGGGGAGAGGGGTCACGTGACCTCGGGGAGGGGGGCCACGTGATCTCGAAGGGTAACGTGACCTCGGGGATCACGAGACCTTGGGGGTCACGTGACATTGGGAGGGATCACGTGACTTTGGGGTCACGTGGCCTTGGGGTGACCTTGGGAGGGGTCACGTGACCTTGGGTGTCGCGTGACCTTGGGGTGACCTTGAGAGGGGTCACGTGACCTTGGGGGTCACGTGTCCTGGGGGTCACGTGACCTTGGGGTGACCTTGGTTACGCCGACGGCGACGGCGCCGACGCCGCTCAAGCCGGAAGCGGGCGCCTAAGAGCTGCGCTCTAATAACCCTATCACGTTACAAAAAAAATAATGGCAGCGATTTTCATTTTTTAATATTAAGTATTGTTCGGTGACTTCGAACACATCTGAAAAACTGCGAAAAGCAATCGCCGGAAAATGTTTTTTCACTTCGGATTTATCCGAAGAACTAAAAATGACGAGGTCAGAACGACAAAAAAAAAAAACGGTCTTTTACAAATAAACTTAATGAAAGTACAGGGTTAGTGGCCTCCAAAAAAAAATGCCACTTGTTTTTCTTTGTTTTAATTTTTAATTAATGACAAAAAGGGGTTTGCCTTTTAGCTCGGCAAGCTTCCTTCAGGAAAAGGGTTCATGGTACGCGGATTTATTTTTCTTTAAATGTAAAAATTGAAAACACTCTAAAATAAACTCAATTTCAGGGAATTCGAATATTATTAAAAATACCGTATTTTTTAGTGAACAGTCCAGGGATTATGCATGTTTAGCGGTTGAACTTGTACCCGTGCAGAATATGTATATCTGCAGTCTTTACAAGGTTTTGTATTTTTCTAGATCGTTTTCTGTTTCAAAGCGTGAAACTTTTTTTTATAAATAACAGAGTATATTAATTGACTTATGCTAATACAGGCTCTTTAGTGAGCTAATACAGCACGCATTTGTCAAAACGTGCTGTGTAAAGTTCCTGCATATATAGGCTCCCTATGCAGGAAATCTAAGGGTCTAGGGGAAATCTTTTCTTTTTTTCTTTTTTTCATCTGAAATCGGTTTCTGCGGTCTATACAACGGGTGGAGACTATAGTCGGGCAAATACGGCAGATTTCGATAAACCCCGAATATTTAACGAAAAATATACTCGGAGAAACACTCTCCGAATTCTACAAGAAATAAACTCCAAAAACACAGAGTCCTACCTCTAATGAATGGAATGGGGCATTCAGAAAGCCATACCCTTTCATTTGTTGAGATTGAGGTTTTAGAAGAACGTAATACTTATTAATTGGCGTATAATAATAATAATAATAATAATAAATCTTTATTTTGTTTCATCACTGAAACTGAGGGCCAAGACAAAAAGCTGCTACAGCAGCTTGACGCAGGTCCTGGCCCCCTTTACAGCATATGACTCCTAAACAGGATGACCTGACGTCAGGCGAAGTGGTCACGTGACGTCACCATCGTGTTGACACGCCTTTGGTATGCGCAGCCGCACGGGCAGACAAATTCTTGGTGTATATAGAGGCTTCCGTTAGGACACACTCTATACTTTAAAAAAGAGGAAACCGGGACAACCAGAAAAAGAAAGGGGGGGAAGGGTGAAACTCTATCGCATTGAGGAGAAGGCCTTTGACCAAAACTCAGACTAGCGGCGGTCGTTTTGCCAGAGAATTATGACTCAGCCTTGATGCAACGGACCTGCAGTAAACTCTTTTAGGGGCGTAGCTCCTTAGGGTCTAGCCTTGTCTGGCGTCCGTGCTTACATCGATTGCCATCCTATATGTCTTCTTAAAAAAAGAAAACATGCTTGCGCAGTCGACAGGATTCGAACCTGTGCGGGGAGGCCCCAATGGATTTGTAGTTCATTGCCTTAACCACTCGGCCACGACTGCAGGACGAGCAGGGGGCTCTGAGATGTGGTATTAACTCAAGGGCTGGGGTTACCAAACGCAACCCGGAACTCAGCACTACCTATGAGCAATAAAAAATAATCAGCACCATCAGCGCTACCTATGAACAAAGTCAGTATCATCAGCAAAACCAGAGCTTCGCCCCAATCAACATCATTCACCACGTGGAGATGTTTCGTTTTTAGGCCACCAATCTTACTACGCACAATAAGGTTCTACTGACGGAGTATGTGCGAAGCCTTCTTTGAAGATTATACTAGAATGGCGTAGTCTGACGTACAACGTAGAAATGATCACTCAAATCAATAGGGAACATAAGCGGTTCATCTCGGACCAGCCTAGGGGACAAGTTGTATTTTTTTTTCTTTCTGGCATTCCTGCCTGGACCATTTATTTGGCCTGTAGTATGCAATAAATAAAAAAAATATAGACTGAGACCAAATGAGAGGTCGTCTGGGGCCATTTGAGAGTCACTGAGAGTAACCATCCCCTGCTTGGAATCAACTGGTCTGATTATTCTTAGTTGGAGAACAGGTGAGAATCAACCGAGACCAGTTGAGGATCCAGCTGATTAGAAACATTGCCAGTCTGAGTTCAGTCGGGCTCAAGGTCAAGTTGGACCAGAGCTGGTGAAACTTACGATGAGGGCGACGAGGCCGACAATGCAGACGACGGCGACAGCCAAGACGAACGGTGACTGGGTGCCGATGACGATGACCCTGGCGACAGCGAGGAAACAGTTCTGGATGAACTGCTTGCCGCTCAAGTACATCCGCGAGTCTATGTGGTCCAGATCCACCGAGAACCGGTTCACTATGCGGCCCCTCGGCGTGGACCCAAAGAAAGGCACGGGACTCGACAGGACGTGACTCAGCATGTCGCGGTGCAGAGAGGCCGAGAGCCGCCGCATCGCCACAGCCATGAGGATGCTTCCGAGGACCCTGCACATGACTGGAACAGAGGCAGATTGTGTGATGTGTACGTCTAGACCGGAAGAAGGTAGTCAGCCTCAATGGGCGTCTGGTGTCTCTGCTGTAGATGAGAACCAGTGCATTATACAACCGCTTGCCTGGGGTCTTCAACGTGCGCCAAGCAGTAGGGGTACACGACCGCACGCCGGTACGTTGCTCACCCATATCAAAACGGGCAAGGGTGGAGTTTGATCACAAGATCCCTGGGTTCTGCCAAGCAAGCCTCTGCTCCACGTGCACCGAACTGCGGAACGTTAACGCACTCAGCCACCCATATCCCCTAGACCAGAGGCGTTCACTGAGAACCACGAAGATGACAAGGCTTGCTCATTGCGCCATCAAGAAGGCTGGTTCATAAATGTACGTTCCCAATCCGACCGACTGCATTGGAACCGCTTGTGACATACTAACGACGATAATACACACTGGCGCCATCTATTGGGTAGGCTTGGAGCACTTTCGACCTGCGTACCTTTTGACGCATCGTTCTTTCACCATGGACCCTGCACACTTACGATGCGATGCCTGAGATGTTTGTGACGGTGTTACAAGCGGCCATTTCCCATAAATCATGCCTGTAAAACCTTCAGTCGAGCTAGTTATTAGCGGGGCGGATGTGGTTCAGGGGTCCCTGGTAGATTGCAAGTATGTTCTCTCGCTTGTTAAGCAGTCACAAGCGGTTCCGATGCAGTCGGTCGCACCCAGAAGCAGATCTGTGATTCAGCCCCAGTGGGGATCGAACCCAGGTCACACCCGGGATCGATCCTCATCCCTGCCCGTTTCCATCAGGATGAGCACCGTGCCGGCCTGCATTCGTGCAATCACTACAACCTGATGCGCGTTAAAGACCCAAGGCTAGCAGTCGTAGTACCCCACTGGCTAAGACACCAGACACCCATTAAGGGTGACAAACATTTGCTGTCTAAATATTAAACGCAACTACAAATGTACAAAGAGAGATAAGGTCAGCTACACCTCCTCCCAACCCCTAGGGCCTAGGCTAAAGCACGCCTAAGCTTAAAAAAAACACAAAGAAAATAAAAACATCCTGCGCTTGACATTGAGTAAGTCTGAAACACGTGTTTAAGTAATCTTCACTGTCAGAGCATAGACTGCTTTTATTTCTAAACTCCAACTGTATGGCCAGCCTCGTCAATGGCCGAGCTCCTTCCGTAGATTGGAGCGATTGGCTCTCTCAACTTCTTTGCGGAAAAGTAGACACACTGGAGTTTGTAAAGTTGGTTGCTAAACATAAGTTGCCTTAACTCCAGCAAGTATTTAGGATACAATCTCCGCATGCGTGCTATAGTCATTTACGACTTAAGAGGGTGTGGAGAGTCCCGAGGTTTTTCTGCTCGCTCCACAGCCAATCAGATAGCGGCAATAACCGATAACAACGCGGAAGAACCAATGAGAAGAGCGAACACGAAAGGCCAGGCCCTTGAAGCCGTGCACTGACCATAATCTTGGTTGTCCATTCACTGACTAAAATGGGAGTGAGACCAACGAACAAATCTATGGCGAGCACGCGTGCCCAACACGAAAGAGGTCACACCGTCGGTGACGCAGACTGCGGCGAGAACCCAGATCCAAGTCGGCCCCAGCGCTTCGGTGGACCCACTGCTGCTCGTAGCCCTGGTCCACGCTCTGATCAAGTTGAGCTGCCACGCGAGAGCCACCGCGCTCGCCAGGAAAGCGAGCAAGCCGATGGCGATACAAGGTCCGGACATTCTCGCCAAGGCACGTATGAGCTGCCAGGCACTCTGCGCTTACATAAAAAAAAAATGAAACATAGAACTTTGTACATTTTGCACACGCTATTTAACGAGTCGTTTCGCGTAACAGTACCTTCTTAGATTCGGCCACTTCGTCGACAGTCGTCCGTCCATTCGCGCCCTCTCCGCTGTTTTCCATGTCGCGGCCACTGGAAAATTAGAGTATCGCTTTTCAATTCGTCAAACAAAAGCAGGTAAGCACTTTCTCTCAGAAAGTGCTCCCCAGATTAATTTCGCTCCGTCGTGGCAAATGATTATGCCAGAGTTCCATTAGAATGCAAGAGAAAAGCAATCGACACGTCGACAATTAAGTCTCAAAAATGTGCAGCATGCACTCAAAGGTACCTTGGCAGCCTCGCAATTACTCGTGCTCATCATACGAGTACCGAGAAAGCGTAAGCCTGCCAAAGGCATCGGCACGCTGCACCTGTTTTAGACTCCTCGGCGTCGGTTGTTTCTCTTTGTCGCTCTGAGGGGGAACAGTGGGACTCAGAGAGATTCCGCCAACACCCATCGCGATTAGATCGTGCCTGTCAAAAAGATTGCGATGTATCGATTCCAGTCAATAAATACGTTAGAATAACAATGTAAATAATGTATGACTGGACAAGACGAGCAGGGTGGTCTCTCTCGAATGGCCAGCCTCCAGCACGAACCCTTTGCCTTCGTCCCGCCTTCGGCAGCGCGAGCACACTTCAAGTTCACGAGACGCATATATATGCATCAAGTTCATTCCTGCATTCTTTCTTGAGTGTTGAAGTGCGTTTGAAAATGTTAAGGGGGATATTTGTTTTTATACATTTTTTTTATTTATGAAGGGGAAAGAAAAAAAAGCTTTCCTCCGAATTTTTAGTGCTTTTTTTGTGTGTTTTTACATTTTTAGGTTTAAGATATTCACGCTTGTCGCATTGTAAGAGACCGATCTGAGCAGCCAGTTTTATTGCGCCTCCGTGGTCACGGTGCATCACGAAATAAAACAAAACACTGTTTATAAACGGGCCCGCGTTTGCAGCCGCACCTGGTGGGGGCGCTGGGCGTGAGCAGAAACCAGATTCGCCTAAGGCACCTGCGTATGCGCAGTGCCGACAGCAGCGCCACCGCTTTGGCGTGAATTACTGCCAACGGCATCAGACAACAAGGACATCGAGAGACGATCCGTAAAGCAAGAAGCGTGAGCGTACGATGGGCTACGCTAGCTACTCACGGAAACTCCTTTTTGCTCTTCTCTGCGGCATTCGTCACAGCCCCCTGGCGAAGTGTTTCGGGAGCCCTGGGATCGTTCAGCAGATCCGCCAGAGTGTCGTAAACAATGACGCGTCTGTTGTGAACAAGCACGAGCTTGTCCATCTGATCCAAGAATGATCCCTGGTTGCACGCCATAATGCGCGTCTGAAGAAAAAAAGATATAGCAGAAACGCTTTGTTTCAAGTACTGATTTTTATATTTTGTTGGAAACTGGGAACGTCCACACTTAGCGTGCGAATGTGTGCTGATGTGTGCTAACGTGCGGATGCGTACGTGTCACGTTAGCATATTATCTCGCTAGGAAGAGGTTAACTGACGCCAAAAAGACACTGGCAAGATGGCGCAAGTTGCCGCCCAATTTCAACGGTTCAACCGTGAGCCTGCATCTCTCCATTCATAGATAGGAGTGCTGCCAAAGGTTGGAAGTACGATGCCCGGAACGCGTCTCCGACTGACATTAAAAATGACCCCGAAGTGGCAACAAGCGGAAGGGATAGGCATGTCATGCTGTAGGATGTCGCGATCTTGACGGTTGGCCGTAGGGCTTCTGTCGAAGACGGCAAGAGAACGTCTGTGTCGACAGGCAGGGCGCGGAAACAGGGTCGCCTTGCTGTCGGCAAGTGCACCGCGTTTCAGATGCCGCAGCGATGGCACACGTACCTCGCACTTAAAACTAGACAAGTCGCAAGAAATCTGTAACCTAGTGAAGCCATCGTAACGCCGGGGTCACACCGCCTATACATCCTACAAAAGGCAGTCTGCATGCAAGTTCGAACGCGAGTCGCCGCGAGATCCGTGCTTCGAATGCCGCTTGGCAATGAGTTCAAGGAGGAAACTTGGGAACGCGGCATTCGAAGTACGAACATTGCGGTGACTTGTGTTCGCAAACTGTCTTTTGTATGATGTATGAGCAGTGTGACCCCGGCCTAAATGTAATGTGGTAACCCAATAAAGTAAAGTCTGTATTTTTTATTTGTTGATAAACCGTGTCCCGTATAGAATACCGTAAAATCCCGAAAAAATACCCACCCTAAAAAAAACGCCGCCCTCCAAAAGATAATCTACCTCATCTTTTCCCCTTTCATCTCTCCACCGTGAGAGGGCGTTCAATAAGGATTTTACGGAATTATCTTTTTGAATGTTTCTGAGTCTTTATGGCACTTTTCACTGTTTCTTTCTTTTTTTTTTCTGTCTGTTTTTTTTTTTCCTTTGTCCTTCACAAAACTCATATAATCATAACCCCAAAAATAATATGCATCGGTCTGCTCTGGCTTTGGCATTGCAGACTTAAGCAAATTAAAAATAAATGAATAGGTTAGTCGACCAAAAAGAATAATGATTATTCTTTTTGGTCGACTAACCTATTCATTTATTTTTAATTTGCTTAAGTCTGCAATGCGAAAGCCAGAGCAGACCGATGCATATTATTTTTGGGGTTAAAATTATAATGCAATGAAATGCAAAGGTGCAAGCAAGCTGGACAAGAATGTCGAAAATAATTTCTGGAGAAGGGGAAAAAGAGGAACAATGGACAAACACAAATCTTTAAACCCAGCTAGGAGACTGGTGCTCGACCAAAAACAAATCCGCCTGGTCCGGGTATCGAACCCGGGACCTCTCCATTTCCAGTGGAGCACTCTACCAACTGAGCCAACCAGGGGTTAGACGTCAGTAGAGGAGACAGGTTTTGTCAGCTGCCACCAGTTTAACACCAACAAGGGCGAAAGTTGGCATTTTAAGGTTACGATTATAATTTATCGAGTTTTGAACCCGGGAGAGCTCCCAGGTTCGATACCTGAACCAGGCGGATTTTTTTCGGTGGTCGCGCACCAGTCACCTAGCTGTGTTCAGAGATTTGTGTTTGTCCTTTGTCCCTCTTGTTCCCATTCTCTAAGGATTATTTCGCTATCTTTTCTTTTTCTTTTTTTTCGGCCTCAACTCAAATATGTATATATAGTGGACAAAACAAACAAACGGACGTGATGGGACCTTATTTCTGAGGATGCCGTTCTTGCCGATCACCTCCTTGAACACCTTCCTCGAAACCACCGCGTCCAGAGCACTCAAAGGGTCGTCAAGAAGGTAGACGTCCGCCTGGTTGTAGGCCGCCCGCGCCAGGCTGATCCTCTGCTTCTGACCGCCGCTCAACGTCTCACCCTGCATCAGAGACGGGGTACTAAAATCGCGCTCGAGTCTTTTATGAGCGCACACCAGTCACTCCGCTCTTTGCGTACCCACTTGAATTCTACAAACACGTCATGGCGATTCGAACCACTTGGTACTTTAGTTGTCCCAGAAAAGCTCGAACAACGCTTCCCGGATGCAACAGCTCGTTCTATGAGTCAGGACGATCATTAAAACCGCAAGTCACACCGCTCAAGCATGATCGAAGCAGGTTTACTTCGAAAATGGTCGAGGCGCGGGAAACAGATCCAGCCTGAACATTGTCGCAGTCGGTGGTCGTCTTTTAATTCTAGACAACTGGCTCCAAAAAAAAAGAAAAAGCACCGACTGCAACGATGTTCAGGCTCGAACTGCCCACCGTGTGTCCGCTCAGCACATGAGCCTCTGAGCCATCCTTAATGGTTTTTTAAAAAGTAACACGACTCAGACACTTTCTGCAGACAGTAATTTTGAATGATATAGTTTAACCGAAACTTATTGTTTATTTTTTTTTTTTTTTGCACTACCTTTTTCGACAAAAAAAAAGTGCAGTTTCTTGTGCTTTAAGAAACGCAAGGCGTGAGCAATCTGATTGGCTGAAGTGCGATATTAAGATAATCAAAACGCACCATGCCCTGTGCTTTTAAGAGAAATAATAATAATACTTTAATCAAGTAACAAATGACAAAGTCAACAATGCTGGCCAACAAAAGCCGCGTCCTGTTTGCGTGTATAGGGCCAGGCAACCAGCAAAACTACATGTACATGCATGCTGGATGTAAAGAAAGTAAATACAACGAATGCATGCTCGATGCAAACAAACAAAAGCGAACGAATGACTGCTCGATGTAAATAAAGAAAATACATCAAATAGGACACGCTCTAAATAATTCCATGTCGACGAAATTCTACAGCCAAAAAAAAAAAAAAAAAAAGTAATTGAGACAAATGTGGATCAAGCAGGCACTCGGTCATGTAGCACATTAGGCAGAACAAGAAAAAAAAATCAATCGAGAACACAACAGTAAGTGACTTTCGAACTATACTTGGCTAGGCTCAAAAATGCGAGAGGGCAACAGAGGTCTTTCCTTCCTCCTGGGATGTCGTTTCGAACTTGAACTCTGCGTAAATCAGTTACGGCAGGTGGTATCGACTCAAACGAGAAAACATCACGAGCAGTATTTTCAGTGTACAAACCTTTTCTCCCACTTCGGTGAGATCCCCCGCTGGAAATGTGTTCACGTCCTGGTGAAGCTGACAGGCGCCAAGCACTCGGCTGTAGTTCTTGGGGTGCATGCGCTTTCCGTAGAGGATGTTGCACTGCACGCTCATGTTATGCACGTTGGCGATCTGTGGCACGTAGGCTATACGGCCCTGAAATGCAACATACGTTTCTTGTCAATAAGTATCCAGCAGCGCTACGGAATAACTGACAGCTTAAGAAACGTGTCCAATGCCGCGGTTACGTTGGCTGCGGAGTGAGAACGCTCTGCGCTTGTTAAGTTGTCTATTATAATCAGGGAAGGGGATCCGGAAGCAATCTAGAACGTGCAGACGACATCTCGTGGTCGTAGTTACATGCATTACACGGTGAGCATGGAGCTGGCAGGATATCACTCCTGGTTCCTCCTTTCCTCTGCTCCTCCTCTCACCCCCCAAACAAAGAACAGCCTATAGTCACTGACTAGATGAGCGGGGCAGGGCGTGACTTTTGGAAGCCTCCAGCACGCGCTAATTGCCTCTCATTGGGCTTTAGCCGCGCTTGCACCCCCGAAGCTCACGAGACCCCCTGAAGCGTTATGAAAGGTAAAAAAAAGCTCGCGCTGGAGGCGGTGCGACTGACGCTTCTCACTGCCATTCTCGACCTGTCGGTGACTATGCCGTCACGCGAGCATCGAGCGAGCACGCGCAGTCAATGCACGGCCATAGCCTCCTATACACTGACAAAGCCTCGCAGATTGCCAGGACCGAGAAGCGGCCGCCGAAATGAAAAGGTGGCGCGGCAGACAACGGGTGAGAAGAGAGCCACGTGACTAGCGCCCCGCTGCGGCGAGGCGCCGAAACACAGTTTTCCCGAGCGAACAAGTGTGTTTCGGGTCCTCGCCGCTGCAAAAGCTGCGCGCTGACGTCCAGGTTCCTCGAGAAATGGCTCTTTGATGCTCTGTGCTACCAGATCCTCGCGCTCCATATCTGCGACCGGGCACTCTATGGCTCCGTCGTTGAACTGCCAGGCTTTGGGAGTATAAAGGAGGCTATATGGCATGGCGGGAGGCCGCGAACGCTTACGCTGAGGCCGAGCATCGAAGAGAGACGTCGCACCGTTTTCATCTATATCAGTGACGGCAGGCAGTTTTATATAGCATATATTGTATACGAAATTGTTAGGAAGTACTTTAAGTAACTTGTACTTTACTTGATGCGCATTTTCCTACTATGTACTCGTACTAAAAGTATTTTTTCTGGTAGTTCTTGAGGAGACAAGGTGAGGCAAAACAAGACTGTGTGACAATCATGCATTTTTCGTAAACACCTTCCAGCGGCGTGGAGAGATAAATAAAAAAGAGTTTTACCGCATACCAGAAGTGACGACATTAAAGATGGGTGCGACCTCATGGAAAAGGTATACACTTTCGGGCCAGTTTCTATGTCTATGAGTCAAAGGAATGGGCGCACGTGCGCTTCTGCAATTTGAGCGCCCGCCAAAGCTATGCACGCGCACTTTTCACTTCTTACGAAATGCCACAAAAAGTTGTTTCCGAGTATGCACCTTTCGATAAACGTGTGTGAGGGCGCGATCGTTGCTTTGCTTGTGCGTTACGCACGCGGACTTCCTGGCTCGCCGTAATTGCAAACGGGCCCTGGCTGGACTGTGATTTAGCACGCATGGACTGTGATTTTCGTAGACAGTGGAAACGCGCATAGACAACTGCAAGCATGGCGCCCGGCTGGTACCCCATTGAGCGCGAGCGCGAGTAGCTTGGGCGTGAACATGGCTTTGGCAAGCTTGAAACTGCATGAGCTTGTATGTACGAGCAGAGACATGGTGGCGACCAGTGGCCTTGCTTGCAATTGTCTATAAACAATTGCAACCATGACAACCGACTGGCACCCCATGCGTGCAAGCATATGCAGAATGCGCGTAAGCACACCTTTGGCAAGCTTGCAATTACATGTACTTGCCCGCGCGAGCAGAGGCATGGTGGCCATCAAATGTCCTGTTTGCAATCGTCTATATGATACTACGGTCCGCTAGAATACATCAAACTCCTACCACGGAGGAAAATTACAGCCATTTCCATCGAATGACATTAAGTGAACAACTAGCGCGTGCCACCCTCGTCCGAGATTGGTGCACGTACGACGTTCGGGATCAAGATGGCGAGCCGACTGGCCAATCAAGTAAGGTAATTCGGTAGAAAGGACATCTAGTTTGCCATCTTCACGGGGGTGTTAGTCCCCGAGTCGTAGTTTTCACGATGTCGGCTTTTTCCACAAGGCGCGCGCAATTCCCGGAAGTCATCCGCTACAGGAATGTGTCCCCTTACAGCGCACGTGACGCTGCCCTTCGTGACGTGCATGTCCCCGAGGATGCCGGCGAGGAGGGAGGACTTCCCGCTGCCCACGAACCCGACCACGCCGACCAGTGACCCGGGCTTCACGTGGAGGCTCACGTCGTCGAGCCCCACGCCACCTTTGTCAGCCGTGGGCTTGGTCCAGGTGAAATCACAGTTGGAAAGAAGCACCTCTCCTTTTTTGAAGAAAATAAAAACATGTGGTGGGTCAGGACATCGGTAAAAAGAATTGCCTTACTTGGACGTTTCGTCAAATGCAATGAATGTGCGATAGCAAGGTATGCGTCGTACAAGGGACAGCGTGCAGGCACTGTCTGAGCCATGTTTCTTCCTTGTAGAACGGTCCTCTACCATTGGCCATATACGCTTTGTCTGCAGATGTGTTCAAAGCATAAATATGTATAGAGGGAATTCATAGTTCGAACAGGCTTGAGCCTCGTCTGCAGATGATTGTCGCATCATGTCTGCATCAAACACGCGTCTTCAGTGTGACGTGCGAGCAGTGTCACCCGTCTTGCTTCCTGATTACACTTTCGGCGTTCTTGTTGCCTGATTAGCTCGTATCTATGGGTTCGGAGCGATAATCACGAAGCGCGACGCAAGAAAGCGTGAACGTGATAAGACACTCTTCAGGCATCTTTTTGCACATAAAGGTGTAGGCTGCCCAAAGGGTGAGGTTGATTCAGGACTCATGGAGACGTCGAGATGCCGCACTAGCATCGAGCGAAAACGGATCTGCAGTTTTTTGGCTGGGACCCTGCACGGCTTGATTGACTCTCCTAGCTTGCTCTCGGAGGGGAGTTTTACAATCTCTAGGTGTGCCCACACTACGACAGTCGTCTTTTTATACATACCTTCATTTTAGCTTAAGTTTTGTGCTGATTGTCGATGTAGGTTCACTTCTCTCCGGGCGTGTCTGTTCGACTGACGCCTTTTTATTATGCACATCCTGTTTTTCTAGATGCGCCTTTTGAGTTTTTATTTTACTATAATTTGGTTTTAATCATTATGTTGTATTGGGTGTAGTGCGTTTTTTTATATTTTATAGCTTATGGGTGTGTCAGCACCAATGGCCGGATGGACGTTTTTGGATACCAAATAAAACTGATTCTTGATCATCAACATCATCATCATCATCATTGTCATCATCATATTATCAAATTGTCCCTTGACACAAAAATATAGGTGACTTTTGCCAACTGTGCTTAGAAATATCTCATAGTCTTAATTCTACATATTAAAAAAAAATGAAGAAAAAAACTTAAGTTAACTCTGCAAAAAATTCAATGAAAGTAATGAAGACATTCGTAACTTACAGGTAAGAAGAAAGTAATTTTAGTTCGACTTTAGAGTTGCAAATGGTACATGCTGCAGCTCTAGGCATGATTAACTGGCATGTCCCACTTGGAGAGAAATCGCATAATCCCCTCTTAATCAGAAAACTATTTCTTCGATACCTTAGGAATATCTAACGTAGGTGATGCTTACACATAAACTTTCCTTGCGCATTATTATGTGATGCCACTAACTCCAAGAGCTTCAAAAGCGGCCTCTCGACCGTAATATACCTTTGTGCTTTAGCATCATGTCCTCTGACCTGACCTGGTCCTCTTCTTTCTCTTCCTCGGTGCAGAATTTCACAATCCTCCTCAGCGACAAAGACGTCTTCAAAACGAACGACACGACAGAATCAGTACAGTTCCTCTTACTATGAAGCAGGTAAGGATTCGCGGAGCTCTCGTTCGTCTGCTTCTTGCACACGGGTTGCGATGATGTCAGAACTCCGAGCTCTTAATGGCTAATTGAAGGGAAATATGCAGTGGGTAGACCTCAAGGCATCTAGCATTGAGGTATACCCACTATATCCTTTCAATCGAAGCCAATCAGAGATCGGCATCGTTCTGACGTCACCGTAACCCTTGCGCAAGAAGCAGACGACTTGCTGTCCGCATAAGCATGAAAACAATAAATCTATACTCCGCTTCGCATTAGGCCCGATCCGACGGAGCCAGTCAGAAAGCAGCACCAAAAGTGCAGCGTCGTCACGGCGCCTGTCGTCTTTAGGTGTTTGCCCTCTCCACGGCCAAACCAATTTCACGCATAAACAAAGCGCGGAGTCGCGCCGCGTTCGCATTCACAAAGACAAAGAGCGCTTTTGACGATGCAGTTTTGACGCATGCCTGATTGGCTGCTTCGAATCGTAGCGTTGGCCGCAGTCCGGCTTGTGAAACGGGGTAACGGACAACCGACACTAATGCCCAATATGAGCAAAAACAAAGTTCACGGGAGCCTTAGTTCGACGCAGGAGTGTAGTCGGCGACTGCTTAGCAAAAGGCAAGGCGTGACTATTACGTTTGCGTTTTTTTTTTTTCGTTGGATGGATGCGTGGCAATGGCTATACCCTTTGTAACGGGCGGCAGCTTGCGCCCTCTAGCCTAACAAGTGGCGCAAGTTCATTTCCGTTTCTGAATTGTTGCCAATGGCTATACGGCGGGCAAGTTCGTCTGCTACTTGCGTACGGATTGCGGTGACGTCAGAACGTCGATCTCTTATTGGCTGTGATGGGAAGGATAGTGGGTAGATCTTAATACTACAGCTGCCTCGAGGTCTACCCACTGTCCTTCCATACGGAGCCGATCAAAGCGTTCCGATGTAACAGCAACCCCCGCGCAAAATGCAGACGATCTTGCGCTCCACATAGTCACTGGAGAGACTGAGCATTCATGACTTATTGCGCTCACGCGTCTTGCTTTGTGATTCGTTCTTCTGGCTTACTATCGGTTTCTGCCACAATTTCATTGGCCGCTGAGCGCTAATAAGAAGCTCGAAACTCGATACGCCCCGCGTTTCTAATGCTGTCAGCGGCTGCCTTTACCTGGAGGCGACCGTGGCGCATCAAATCGAGCAGGGACCATTCGCACGCAGTCTGACTCTTCACTTATTCCTCTTCTACCGAACTGCTACGAATCAAAACAGTCAAATCTCGATTGGACGCGCTACTGTCGCATCCATGTAAATGCAGCCAGTGGGTACATACACCCCTCTCGCAAACATCCGCAGTTGAGACAAAGACATGTGCACGAGCGCGTGGCTCTTGAAAGTGCCTCTGATGCACCAGCTCTCGTACAAACAAAAGCACACTGCTGAGCTAGGTTCACGCGCCCGGGCCTTTGCCTTTACTGCAGATATTTGTTAGATAATACTATACGTTGTTTTTTTTTTTTTTTTTCAGCTGTGACCGATTTACAAAGGCCAGTGCGTTTCGTTACTTTAAAGCATGAAGTCTTTTTTTAACGGAATATCTCAATTTTGTCCGTTTTTACGTGCCTTTCTCGCAAAACAAATTTCCCGGAAAAAGAATTATGGGTGTTTAGGACACATGACATCAATTGATGTCACGTGACGTGACGTCACGTTATCTATACACAAAATAAGTTTTCCCGCCAAAGTCGGCGGGGAAATTGATATCGCCTGACCTGACGTCAAGAGACCTAACATCAATTCAGTTTCCTCGCTAAAGTAAAAGGGGAAATCGAAGCCACGAGGCCTATGAAACCAGTTTTCCCGCTCAATGTTCCGGAACAATTGAAAAAAAAAAAAAAAAAAATGTTTCCTTCACACCCCAAAACGACGGTTCAATGTTTACTAAACATTTTTAAACGCTAGCACCTTAAATACTGCATTTTATGAATTATCTGACATTGGAGATAAAGGTCACTGCCAATATTTTTAAGAACCCGAGACGCGTTCTCCAACAATAACTATGGTGCATAATATAAGAAAAAAATGATATAGCTTTCTGTTTAACACGTTTAGAAAAACACTTTTTTTTGTGTGCTGAACTTAGGTTAGAGAAACTAAAGACTACGATGCTTCCGCTGATTCCTCTAACTAACACACTGGACGCTTCGGTGCCAACACGCTACTTTTCTGACGAATTTAGCTTCGAACAGGGCGATCCTGGTAAGTACTAGATGACAAGCTGTCGTGTACCTACGCTCTTTTTCAAAAGTACATCGAGCAACATTGGCGGCCGCCATTGCTTGGACACGTGGCGTGTGACTGGATCCAACGTTACTAAAACACTCAGTTGGGAAACTCCCATAGAGACAGCCCTAAAAATATGGCCCCAATCTGTCTCCGAGCACCGAGCTAATGACGAACACAACGCCACCATTTCTCCCGCAGCGGCCACTCGAGAAACTGTACGTGACTTCTATTTTTGGCTTTGACAGGGGTGAATCCCCGTCTCCCCGGCGGACGCGCCGCGTTGAACTACTGAAGTTAAAATGCACCTAGGTCGGGACGCGCTATCTGAAAGGCCCGCTGAGGCATGGTTTTATAAAAACAATATTAATTGTTCCGCAAAACCTTGCGAACTAAAGATGATAAAACATCACGCGCCCATCATTTGGTACTAAACTCCAATAAATTTCATACAAAAAGAGTATTTTCCGTTTGTTTTTACGCAAAAAACAGGCTTGCAAAAAGCTCGAGGTGACCATAGTACAGACAAAGGAAAAAGAGTGGCGCTGTTGTCGCATTCAGCTCGGTCTCGGTGGACGCCAGCGGCCCAGGTTTCGACGGCGAGTTTCCCAACTGAGTGTTTTAGTAACGTTGCTGGATCTGAGTCCACGCCGAACGCTGTCGCAACCCTAGTGTCCAGTGCATGCTCAGAGCACGCGGTCAAGCAATGGCAGACAGGTGATGGCGCGGACTTTTGAAAAGGGTTTTATTGTCCATTTATATAATTTTTTTTGTAACTCTAGTCATTGGGAGGATAAGTACGGCGGGACGTATCTTTCGTATATCCGACCTCCAGCCAATACAACCTTACACTAGTTTTCACCCCAAACAAAACAAAAAAAGGACGTTTTGCGCATCGCTCATACGCGGCGCGAAGTAGTTCCTACAAGAGTTGGTTGTCGGTGGAAGAAACGATGCTTTTCGGCGTTTGAAGCGTGTACGTCTTGATAAGATATCATGTATCTAATTTAAAATGCTCCTGGATATATATTTTAATTCTCCGCATAAAGGGGGAAATTCGTAAGGCTCCGCGACGAGCCGGACTTTTTTTTTACTATGGTGCTTGAGATGAAAACGAGTATAGAAAGCAAGGCCTGCACATGACGTCATCATTGGTGGACCCTCGATCCACCAGAAAGTGGCAGATAACGGAAGAATTTCCCTATAGTTCTCAATCTATCAGTGACGGCAATAACTGATTTACGGCTTACTACATATAGTGTGGCGGCAATGCCACCACAACGTGAGGAATCTCTCTATTAGCAATGTGCGAGACTAAAAACCGCCGATATATTTGTTCCGCTTTTCGCGATTGGTCAAACGATGGCCATAAGAGAATTGATTGATCGCCAAGTTCGAAGGTGTTAGTCTGAGAACGCGACGCCCCCTAGTTTATGCCGTGCTTTTTACACACACTATCAAACTTGTCGTGGAAAAAAATGGAAGTAGCCAGGATGACAACTCGCGACATCACAGCGAGGCAGATCCTGGCCGTGACGTGACGGGTGGAAACCATGCGAGGGCGATGGCGAAATATCTAAGCGCTAATGAGATCCAGAACTTCGTTCCAGATATTTTTTTATTTACGCAACGATTAAGATATTTGCTTTCTTTACTTTAAGATTGTGACGCAATTAAGCTAAACCCTTACCTGACTCCTCACTCGCAAGGCCATGGACGTTTGCGTCATGGGGACATCCGTTATAAAAATCATGTAGACGCAACTGAACACGACGGAAGACGGGAGCATTACTCCAGGGTTGAAGATGGCCAAGGTTCCGAAGAATATGATGATCAGCTGCGAATGTCAAAATCGCATTTAATTAACTTCATCGCAGCGTACACTCCACAGATGGACTCAAGCCAACTTCCCGGTTCCTTGCATGGCATTCTTCTTCATTGCGCATGCGCGTGAAAGGGCAAGGAGGACGGCACGTGTACCTCACTTCTTCGCGTATGCGCGCGTGTTTTAATTCGACGAATAGAATTCTCTAGGAAGAGCGTGACTTCAAGCGCGTTTATTTAACTATTTGTCTATACAGACAGGGTTCACGTATAAAGGGTAAGGCAGGCAAACATAAACCAGAAAAGACACAAAACAAAACATAACAATGAAAGGCAGGCAACATATTGTTAATAAGTGCTTATGAGGCGCGTCGTTGAAATGGTTGATGAATCCGAGCTAATCACACTTTTAGGGAGTTTGTTTGATCCGTGACCTTGTCCGATGTACGTCTGATGGCACAAAGTTGACAAAACGGAAGCTGCTTTTTTTACCTCTTTTGTTTTGATCCTGCAGGGGTAAGTTTACCAGGAATTTGAAAGCTCTACGTGGGCTCTTGGAGAACCGCAGGAGGCTCAGAAGCCGTCATTTGTACAGCCCTGGTCTATACTGACCAAGCTTGTGCACATCTTTTTATGGTTTATCTAGGGTTTTTCTTGTGCCGATTACATGCATGAGCCGGGGCGAGAACTAGGTTAGGTACTTGTATCATACACGTTCCTCTCCAGAAGTAACTAAATATCGTTATTCGTTACTCGTTACTTCTTTTGAAAAGTAACTAGGTCGTTGTTTCGTTACTGAAAAAAGTAAATGGGTTGACGCGTTACGCACAGGTCTGCTATTGCCTGGTCATTAATAGACGTGTCGAACGAGCGTTACGTACCACAGAGCTGGAAGCGCTGTAGATGGAGTCTATCAGCCCATCTAGCACGTTGACCCAGAAAAGCGGCTTCATCTCCACGTCTCTGGCACGGAGCAGCTTGTCCTTGTAGGCGTCTTCCCAGGCGTACATCTTGACCAGGCGCACGGAAGACAGCAGGTCCGAGGTCTGCTTGAGGCGCTCGTCGCGCGCTCTCATCTGGCGGAACTATTAGTAAAAGGAAATGGAGTGCTGAAATCGAGAAACCGTCACAAACGACTGTGACGCCACGTGATAATACTACACCATCGTACCGTCATGACAACGTCATAATGGTGCCATGCCGACGTCACGGTGTCATGTGACGTTACAGTTCTTAGGGACGGTTCTCTGTGACGGGTATTCATACGCGTCTTCGTGACGGGACTCCGTTAAGCTATTCCCATAGGCATGGGTGGCAAAACTGATTGTGTTAAAAATGGTACGCAGTTCTTCAGAACCTGTGTAACTCTAGTAACCACAGCCGCCGTCCCCCCAAAAAAACAGTGGCCCGTCGAACGACGAGAAGCGGATCTTGTGGGGAGTTTGAGAAATACTGGGTGGGCCAGGAAGCTGTGATCGCATAACATGCCAGTACGGCGGAAGCTAAGGCCGTGGTCGGCCAATCGGAGCGTGACTGCGTAACACCGGAGTGCGTTTTTACTGCGAAGAAGTATCAGACTTTTCGCTGCGTCATGTTTCAATATGTGCGCGTTGCGCTCGTATTCGTAGCGCATATCGAAGCCGTCGGCACGCAATTTGGGCTTATCGTCCACCCTTTGCCAAGTTACAACGAGACATGGTATAACCGTGGGCTCTCATTTTGCTGGCGCTGCCTGGCTGGTGCCGGCTGGCTATCGTAATGCGAGGTGATGATTCGGGGTACCATACGATTCGGCGTTATACTTCGCTTAACTTCAGGTCCTACCGCAGCTGACGCCACAACCCGACAGAGCCAATCAAGCGGCGCCAAAAGACAACGTCACGGGCCTCATTGTCTTTGTGTGTTTGCACTCACCGACCAAACCAATCATGCACAGTGAATTAACCATGACACTGCGCTTCCTTAATTGCGCGATTGGTTCAGCCGATGATATTTCACACCCCAAAAAAAACAACGAGCGTCGTAGCGACGCACTTTTGGCGCTGCCTGACTGGCTCGTCGGCTGAGGTCGACCTCAAAGTAAAACGGAACATACTCACTGAGTTGTGTAAATAGTGGTTCGAATCGAATATCACAGCGTCATCCCTAGCTTCTGCCTCGTTGGATGAACCGGTCGTCTTAGTTTTCCCTTACACTATCAAGGCTATGAATGACGCAGCGCTATTCGGTTCGAAGCACTATTCGCACAACCCTAGTGACCACTTCCCATAATCAATCGCTTCGCAAAACTAATAAAAGAAAAAGTAGAGATGTGGCGCTGTAGGCGAGCCTTGTTCACTTACCCAGAGGAAATTCTGCATCCTCGATATCGGGATGGGAAGAAGAAACACGAAGAGCAGGTAGCCGGCACAGCAGAGGGGTGTTGCGGCGCCCACTCTGCACGCCAACAGGTAGAGCATGATTGGCATGCACAGAAGGCCGCAGACCGGGTACGGGAAATTGAAGATGCTCATGGCGAGCTGGTAGCAGTCCACACCGAGTATGGACAGCACCTGACCCGTCGAGATGGCCGCTCTCGCAGAGGGGGACAGCAGCGTCATCTGCAAAGTTGAAAGAGGACGTCAAACACCATGTTGCCCGAGAGAGGTCAACGACTGCGAGACGTGTCTGGCTCGCCGTCACTCTATAGGGCCGCAGTTAAGCTGTGCTCGTACATCATACACGAGACAGGGTGTTCTTTGCAGACCCACGAGGACATCGTTACCTGCCTCGAGCACGTTTTGCCTCAAGCATGTTTTAAGCGCCGTAAACATGTTTTATGCATGATTTCTTCATAGATATGCACGTTTCGAACATCTCCGAAGACATTTTTTTTTTTATCATTATTAATTTAACTGGACCTCGTGCAAGAAAGTAATATGTCTCAGACAGTGTCCACAGGCTGTATTTTGTATCATAAATTAGCTGTATGACCGCGGGTTTACGTTGAGACGGAATTTAGCGCCCCAAAGGCCTTGCGGGAAAGCAGACGCTCCAGAGGTCTTAGAGTATGCCCTCGCGTGTATACACCAGCTGGTCACCCTTCGGGCCTCACCTTCTTAAATATGGATCCCTGCAGAACAGCGCGCAAACGGCAGCCGCAGATGGCGGACAGCTCGTTCTGGTAAGCGCTGAGCAGGCATTCCGCGCCGCTTGCCACCAGGAATAAGAAGGCCGACACGATCCGCTCTGTGTCGTCGCAGCTGTCAATCACCTGCCTGGAAAAGCGCGGGGCACTCACGTATAGGCTTGCGCTTGTTGTCAAAATTTGCAAAAAAACTAAATGTCCGCCGAATCAAAGCTTCCAGGGAGACAAAATGTCCAAAGAGATAAAATGTCAAAATGCGCATCGAGTGAAACTTTCCGAAGAGACAAAATGTTCAATAGGTCACGCGATACGCGTGGCAAAATGTCCACCGAAACAAAATGTTCGATAAGGCTGAAGTGACTCGAACGGACAAACACGACCAAGAAACCAAAAGAAAGAAAAAGACCACGATAACGAAAAAGGAAGTAGAATAATCGAGTGAATAATTAAGATATTTTGTAATAATTTGTAGACTTCAACAGATTTTGCGCAGCCGACAGGATCAATAAAATATGGGTAACTTTTCACATAGATCCCAGTTCTCACGAAGAACTAGTGTTTTCGAGCTACAATGCTGATGACGATATCATGACGGATTTTTCGCGACTCGTCAGCACGACACACTTGGTCCAGCTGGTCAAACATAAGGCGAAGAAGTCGACCGTGGAACTTCTTAACTCAAGATTCGTGAAGGTAAACAACATTCAATTATTGGAGATATGGTGCTATGGCCATGCCGGAGAGTATCCGATGAGACCTCAAACACGCGATGAGCCCTGCAAATAATAAAAAAAAGAGCAAAATAATACAGCGAAATGAGCTGATGCGAGCCATTGTTGCTTTGAGATGGTAAACTCAGACCTGCTTGATGGTCATTCGTCAATTCCAGAAGGATGGATTGGCTTTTATGAATACGCCTCCTATAAAAAAAAAGTCTAAAAGTTCAAACAAGACAGCACCGAGAACATGCGCATATCTTCTTGACCGACATCGCAAAGAGGTGATACGAAATTCGCCTTCTGGATCAGCTGAACGCAAGCTGAAGTGATTGGAAGGCAAGTTTCCTCGCCCACTTCGAGAGCAACTCAACAAAACCGATGGGATCGAGCCATCTTTTACAAGTTCAAAACTGGCTTGCTCCTTGAGTATTTTGTGAGCAGCGAAGCCTGCTTCAACTTCCCGTACCCAAAGTACCGGAGTCGGCGGCGGTATCCCTGATATTTCATGGACTTCCACGCGAAATTCAGAAGCAAGTGCAAGCTTGCAATCTCACATCGGTGTAACACTTGATTCAGAACCTCCAAGACATCTCCAGCAACAGCGTGGAGAGAAACTTCCTCCCTCGAGCTGCAACGCCTATGAGGCTAACTCCAGCCTCATAGGCGGTGCAGTGTAGGCGGTGTTTAAATATTCAACCCCGCGAAGTAACACAGCATACGACATTGAGCGACAGCGTCAAGAATGGCTTCCGCAGGAACAGTCATGGAACTTTACGCCAGACTATAACCTCAACCGGAACCAGGCGGCATACTTTACGGATGTCGAGAAGCAACAGCAAGGTTCCGAAAAACAAAAATAAAAAAAATAAAACGAATAAAAGAGGGTTTTTATTTTCACCCAAAGATACAAAATAAGACTGTGTACTTGTCTTCAAGCCTCTTACAGATCACCATTGATATTAATGGACGTGAGGCGCGTGCCCTAGTCGATAGCGGCGCTTCATTATCAATAATTAAAAAGGGCCAAACAAACACTCTGAGAAACTATACTGTCGAGAAACTATATGGACAAGCAAATTCAAAGTCAGAGTTATGACGGCAAAAAAAATTATATGAAGAATGAACAACAGTTAACGTTCGAGGGTCCAAGTATTGAAATTGTGGGTATGGTTATTAGTGGAGTAGACTGTTTCTACTATCCCAGCAAGTCATAAAACGGTTGAAAATGAACATCTCCTGGGACAATCAAGTCACAGTCGAGAAAACGGCCGATCACAGATCTGCTGCCGACAAGCACATAGGCGCTCCGTTAGAGCTTATTACTTCCGCTGATGATATTCCTAAGTTGCATCCTGAATGGACCTTTTGGAAAACATCGGCTTAAGAGTAAATGAATTCGGTACCCTCTCTCTCTCTTCCTTCGGGCCGAGCAGAAAGAGAAGATGGTTTCTTTGTATCAACTTCGGGACCGAAGACAACCTACGATGAGGACAGATGCGAAGTTTGGGGAGCCGTTTCTAGGTTAGAGCGGCTCAATGGGCAAACAGGTTGTAGCGGACGTTTTGGGTGTCGAACAGCCTCGAAACCAGTTACGTGTCTTAATGGCAGCACATATTTGAAAAAAGGCGGATTGTCCGGCGTTGGCCCCTACCCTCCAGCTTCTACAGAACTCACGGTGCCCTTTAATATCAGTGACAAGACAGTAATGCGAAATATCCCTGCAACACGACCAGAAAGAAGGCTTGGCTGAAACAGGAGCGTCAAAACATGCTTTATGTGGACATCATCCGACCTTCTGTGTCTATGTTTACGTCACCTACCACCATTGCACCCAAAGATGAAGCCTTCAGAAACTGCACCGGACTACCGTGCTTTAAACAAGCAGACGGTTCTAACTCGGTTCTTCATGCCACGAATCTAAACCGTCATGGATAAAACAGGAGGGTGCCGTCACTTTTCATGGATTAATTTCTTCAAGGGATATTGACAGGTTTCTCTCCAAGAAGTAACCAAAATATACACAGCGTTTACATCCCCTTTGGAGCTGTATAAGTACAACCGCCTCCTCTTCAGCTGGAAGACCTCTCCCGCGTGGTTTCAGACTATGATGAAGCAGGTCTTAAGTCTGTACCTTGGAGTTTTGAGAAACGTCCACACGACATCATCGTTTATTCCGAAACAGAGATGGAACCCCAACAGGATATATTACAAGCCTTGACAACATTTAGCTCCACAAAACTAAAAATTAATTTTGAGAAGAGCGAGTTCATTCTGCCCCAGGAGCTATTTCTCGGCCGCATATTTGCAGTCACTACAAAGAGTACAAAGGAAGAGTCTGTGACACGCATTTCACAAGTGGTTAAGCCAAATGACGTACATTCTTTCCGTGTGCTCCTTATAGTCTTGCCGGACACTTTCGAACGTTTATTGAATGACTCCGCTTTGAAGAAAAATGTATCAAGAATCACACAGAAGGGCGCGAATTTTGACTGGACGGAGGAGTATGAGCAAGCATCCCGTGACATGGTTCAAGCCGGCCATTTCATCAGACCCAATCCTCAATTTGCCAGACACGCTCCCGTACGAGCTAACGCTGATCCTCACATCATTCAACAGGAGAACTGCTCTTCCAGCTCAATTCGAAAGACCGCTCTCATGCACAACTTCGTGTGGTGGGCTACTTCAGCTATATACGCTCAGCAAGTCCGAATTAGATTACACGGCAACTGAAAAATCACTGGTAAATTTGAAGGCTGTCGGGCTATTTCGCTCATATTTGGAAGACGTTCTTGCAAGCCGCTCACAAACCACCAAGCTCGGACATGCCTTCTTTACTTGATGCAACCCAAAAGCCGGCTCGAGAGGTGATCAACGAGCTTCAGCAGATTTAGTTCGACATTTTAAATCTTCTTGATACCTCGTTGACCGACCCGAAGGAAAAATCCATCAATGTAACCCTGCTTGGCAGTCAATGTTTTCTAGTGGACCGCTGACTGTGCCTGACTGTACGTCAAGCATGTCTGATTGGCCAACAAGTTACTCTGACCGACAGTCAAACTCCAGTCAGACCCCGCTTGTCGGCTTTCTGATGGTTTCCTGGTGGCAGTCGGCCGCCGCGAAATGCCATCAGGATGTCTTGGTGGTGATTCTGACTGTACATCGATTGTCTCTGACTGTACGTCAGAAAGCTTTGACTTGCAGACAGACGTACGGTCAAAGGACGTAAAGTTCGTTAGGATACCACTATTTCGTCAAATCTATGAATACGATATGACACGCAACCGACCGACAACCTTGATCAGAAGGCCGCGGAAGCGCCGAACACGACACTTCGCACTTCGCCGACTTCGCTTCGCCCACAGAGGCTTCGCCGAGCTTTCATGAACGATCGCTCCCGACTCGGTTTGTTTGCCCGCTTGCTTTAACCTGTCGATCCTGCCCGGGCTCTACAATGTCTTATGTTTTAGTAGAATTTCTACTCGACAAGACCCAGCCTGTTGTGAGTTCCGACGATGTAAGGGACTTGAGCGGTGTAGTTGAAGACGACAGGGTGTACCAGGTCTACTGGGCCGGTGATGCGCGAACAAAAGGATCGTTCTACGACGCGAAAGTACTCTACATGGCAGGTGAGTAGAACTGAAGTACGGCGAGTGATGTACGAGTGCTTTGCATAACATGCTGACGGCTTAACTGCATTTGCAGCCAAAGCATTTTGTATAAAACGAATAGTCAAATCAAGTTTCTCCAACGGGGCGTAGCATAGCGGGGGAGTTCGAAGAAGACGACGAGCTGAATGGCCGCGTTGGAAATGGGCTCCGTAAAGGAAATCTCAACGGCTAAGCCTAGCCGGGAATATTCTGAAACTATTTCTGCTTCTGCCCCCTCTGCACCAAGTACAACGGAATACAAGATTTTACTGCCACCCCTTCCCAACGGTAAGCTGCTCGAAAATTCACTGATTCTTCATGGGGACCCATCAGCCCGGCCATACCGCATCGACGATTTCGGTCCTGCTTTGAAGAAAATCATCAACCCAAATGAGCTAGCTTCGCTTGGGGCCTACCAGTACAATCATGTGTGGCTGCTCACAGTGCGTTCTGCCAAGGAAAAAGAAAGACTGCTGCAGCTCCGAGAGATCCATGTAAAGAACAAAACATGTTTGATAATAGACGGGAGCAAGACTGCGCTGTCCATGAAGGTGCACTGGGTTCCAACTACCGTCCCAGATGCAAACGTGGCCAGCGCGTTCTCTACGTTTGGAAAAATAAAAAGCATCGTTCGAGACAAGTGGCACTACTCCGGCTTCGAGGATGTGGAAACGACCACAAGAATACTATCAATTGAATTGAACGAAGGTGTGACTGCGGACAGCTTGCCGCATCAGCTCAGGATTTTAGGAACAACCGTCCTT